CTGAGGTGGTGATGACTGTATTCTTGCAGTGTTGGACGGATAAAACTGTTAACTGAACTCAACCGCATCCTCGCCGGGAGACGGGCTCAGTCAGAACGAGGTCTTGTAAAACCTGCGATTGATGTTTTCATCACGACATAGATGAGGGCAGACGGTGTGAAAACACTTCTTTTGACCTCAGAGACTACTGCAGACTGAGCAAGAAAAAGTGAGGAGGTCTTTTGCCCTTAATTTACCATGTTTTTTCTTACGGAAATGAAACCAAAATATCAAAATATAAAGGCCTCCTAATCATGAATCCTTCTCAGCCGTCAATCATGATGTTTCACCCCCTTTATATAAAATCAAATAACTACAATGTTACCTGAAAAAACACCAACAACTAAAAACATTTATATAACCTGAACTTTTCTTTTTTTAGTGTGGTTCATATCCCATGAGGATGCTGGGTTTATGTATGTGTGTATGATGTGTAGCTGATGGCACACCTGTAAAATCTCAGCACTGCTCTTCTCCCTCATAACACAATAATGATGGTTAATAGGTGAAACCACATGTCTCTCCATTAAACCACAGTAAGTCCCAAGTTTACAGGCTGTAATATATTGTTCTCTCACCTTTTTCATTCAATCACACAGTAAGTAACACAGTTATTAGGGAATTTTCAGTTTTGTGTACCCTCAAGGTGCCCTGCATTTAAAAATATAAAGTATGATTAATTTGTCCTCTCCTCTAAAATACCCAATTTGTACCTTAAAATCTTGTTTTGTTCCTCTGTATATTCACCAGGAACCAGTAAATATTTTATTCATACTATTAAATTCGACTGTAAATTGTGAGTTGTTTTGTGCAGTGATACAGCCAGAAGGATCATTTCCACAGAACTGCACATCAGATACTATCTCTTAATTGCCTCACATTCATTTCATATTCACACACACATAAACTCACTCTGTGGAGCTGTGGCAATAAAAACTTTAACCTTTTTGTCTGCACCCGGCAGTCATGTGTAAAGTGCCTTGCTCAAATACAACCTGTCATACAGCAAAGTATTCATCTGTGGCTAAAACTTTAACCAGCGCCGGAAAAAAATAGGCTCAGGAGCTGAGGAAGTAATTTTCCATGTGACTCTTTATGTTGTCGCTACGTTTGTTTCGGTGTTTTTCTGCTGCTGCTAACTTGCTCGTAATGGCCTCAGCATAAAGTAACTTTTTATCTCACCCCTCAGTGCGACGCCGCATACAATTTACAATATCAATCAAGTCCTAAGTGGCTATTGCTTAGCAACAGTCTCTATCTCCTCTATCTCCAGCCACAACTTTTTTATGGATACACGCATAAACAAGTCATTCTGTAGGCACACACGCACACACAGGCATACGTGCCATTTGTGTATATGATTATTATAATGACTGTAATTAATCCGAGGCTCAGTATGTGTCTGTCGTTGGGGGTGCTGAGCTGTGGCAGTGTTCGTTTTAGAGTGCTGTTTAGTGCTCTGCTCTCTCTTTAATGACCCTAGCAGGGGACCAAAGGAGAGTCAGCTGTAGATTGTGAACCATACCTCACATCTTCTTGGACCATAATGATAATGATACAGATGTCCCAGTGCACCTGAACACTTCCAATGCATCTCCAATCCATTAGTGCGTTAGGGAGAGTGAGGGGGGACGGAGAGGATGAGGGAGAGAAAAGGTGTATAGGCTCCAACCATAGCACCACAGGATATCCAGACAGTGAATTGGAAGTGTGTGTGTGTGTGTGTGTGTGTGACAGGAGACCGTGTGAAATAGAAACAAAGTAGTATGAGATATTTTACAGTTTTGAAGTTCACAAGCTCCGCACATTAACGTTGCAGCGCAGGATTTCATTACCAACCTCTGCAACACGTTCAGCCAACTGACTCAACCCCGGCTTGTGTCATGACATTTGCTGGATCCCCAGGGCAGTTGATGCAAAAGCTGATGTTTTATCCGTGCAACTTTTCGGAGCCGTCAAGGGGTGACTCATTCATCAAACAGGCATCTGTGCTGTTTTTGTCAGCGCGAGCGTGTCGACATGTGTGTGAGTGGGAGGGAGGTGTTTGATATTTGTTTGTGTTTCTGTGTTTGACCTTGAGCCATGTTTTCAAGGCTGATTGAGATGAGTTTGAGCAAAAGCACTGACGACAAGCCGACAGACTAAATGCAGTGATACCAGCCCGGTTTAACACACAGGGGCTCTTGGCAGGTAGAGGCGGCTGTCAGTCACAGGAAGAGCCATGAGCTGCGTACAGATGAGAACAGAAATACACTAATGCATTAGTTTCACTCAGTAAGGATTGCTGTCCTAAGATATACATATACATATGTTTTTTATGATCGTCTATTGATTATTTATTTAATATGTGTTTTACAAATACATCCTAAGTCTTTTGATCTTAACCTGTGTCAATAATTACTAATGATTATATTCTTTGATATTTCTTTTTGCACTTTATTTATTGGTTTTCAACATTAGAAAACACACACACACACACAAAACCCAGAAGACAGAAAATGCACAATGTCTCTGTTTTCTCATGAGCCTTCAAAATGTCTGCTACTCGTTTCTTTGACGAAAACATTGGACTGAAGTGTTCTCAGCAAATTATTCAGTGCATTCGACCTCAACCCCCCAGCAAGTTTAAGAGTCATCTGGAACTTCAGATCAGTTAAAAAGACATTATTAAAAACCAGCGTTTATCTCCAATATTCAGCAAGAAACTTTTAAAATATCAAGAATTGGAAACAGAGTTTGGTGGATTTGTTACAACAGCAGCTCTTCGGGTTCAGGGAAGGTTGGGCATTATAGGTAATAGCCACCATTCAGTTGTGTTTCAGTATAGTGAGCGGGACTACACAGTTAGAGCTCCTGTCAGGAGATAAAACCAATTCATTTCTCATACATAAAGCCCAACAGACTTAATTACACGTGTGGCTGCAGAGGACGCTGACGCTGAGTGGCTTTAAAGTTCGTTCAATTATTTAACTTTTGATTAAATGACTAGCTAATTCTAAATGCTTGTCATAAACAATATTGATCAAAGCATAGATAGATAGATAGATAGATAGATAGATAGATAGATAGATAGATAGATAGATAGATAGGTATAGGCAAAAGTACTTACATGACACAACACAATTAAAAACATGCAAAATATAGGATATATATGATGCAATATGGCAACATATAAAAGTGCAATGGACGGGTAGCGGCAAGTTGCATAAGTAAAGAAAACCAGAGAGCAAATCTTACAGAACAGTAAATGTCATCCTTTGTTCAGTGCCTCTCTGGCACAGGGAATAAAGGATTGTTTGTATATGTTCCCACTGGCCCATGGGGACCCTGATTTGCCAAGTTGTAACTAGAAACTGCTCAGACTATTACTTTCCAGCTCCAGGGCAGTAAATCACAATGTTCACACACTGCTGACCTCAATGTGTCTGGTCTACAATCTCAGGGTTATTAAACTGACCCAACTTCTTCCACATGTGGGATCACTCAATCACAATTTGATCAAAATACTCAGGGAGCAGATGCAATTAGAAGACAAATAAAACAGGTGTAATATGTAACATTTACAAAATATACAGCTCGCCCTAACTTTAAATTGAATTATAATTGGGTGATTTACATGTGTTATATTGTTCAGATTGAAAAGAAATATGAGCACATGATGCATGAACATATTTCTGTTCCCTTCACCACTTTATTATTGTTCAACTTTCTGTAAAATGTTTTATTTTATGATTATGTAACAAAATAGTACAGTTTATTTTATCTGCAGTATTTGTTGCATAAGCAGATCTTACACTTTCCATCCTCAGTGATCATACCGAACTTCATTATGTCTCTGTCAACAAAATACATAATAGTTTTTAGTCTTGTATAAAAAAAATAAGGTTTTTTAAATGAAGTAAGGTCGTCACAGAGCAGCAGCGACTCTTCTGTCTGTTCAGTGATGATGGTTGAGGAACATTGACGTTACGTCCTTCGTGCATCATGATGAATTCCACTGTGTTCATATCAAAGGGCTCTCACAATCAATTACCATCGCTCACCATTGCTTTGAAGGATTAGGCTGAATGTTGGAGACACTTTGCTCTGGGTAATTGAAAATCACCATCACCGACCTTCTTTAACTAGAATTGTCTGGTGCAATGATTTCATAATGACCTATTTGTTTTGTCCTGATTTTGAAATGTATATGTAAAGAAATGGTTTGGGTGCCACGTATGTAATACTATGTGTTATATGAAAATAGTTGCCATGATAATTTATAGTAAGACAACTTTAAAGTTAAATATATTTTATGGCTTCTTGTTTTGTACATAAGGCCCCTTCTGGACACAAGTTATTTCTCTAAAGATTGTATCTGACTCTTTTGTCTAAAAACATTTCACTTTGCTTCCAGTAAATTGTATGTTTTCACTTAACACTTAACAACTGTTTGTTTCTTTAACAATTACAACTGGGGATTTTGAGAATAAGATAATGCATACATCACATCACACACAAGGATGTGTGGCATTATTGTTGATCATCGATTAAAAGTAATAGGTTAATAATTAAAAGCCAGTTAACAATTGCTAATATAATGTTTCCTGTCTATATCGGTTATGAAGAGACCCTTGTCTGATGCTTTCAATTTAAGAGATGGGGGACAAATCCACAGTCCTCTTTATTTAGAAGTATATTGTGACGTTTAACCAAAGCTAATATGAAGCTTTAGCAGACTCAAGGATATCTCTTCGGGAATACCCAAGGCTGAGTCTTTGAATCGCTTCTTTTATCCGAGCAACAGTCCAGAAGGTCGACATCATCATTTTTCAAAGAAAAGTAGTAATTCATTACAACTTAGGAATATATTACAAAAATTGAAATCTGGTTTTAACCATTTAAGATGACTGATCATGTTTTCATAGATTCATTGGTGTTGTCAAACTCTTTCATTCAATGTGAACATTTCTTGTTTCCAGACGTCAACATGGCAGGAGAGCCCAAACCATACAGGCCTAAGATGGGCTCCAAGAGGCCTCTCTCGTCCCTCTACAGGTTTGTGCCTCTTATTTCTCTGTATCTGTTGGATGTTGCTTTGCTGACCTACTTTCGCTGCTGTACTTACAGTCTGTAAAATACGTGCTCATAATCCTCGCTGGCAGGCCGCAGGTACTTGTGGAGGAAACAGCCAATTCCCTACCTGTGCTATCAGTGCCACTCGTGTCCGTTGTTATTACACACGCTCATTCCTGACATTTTGTTGGAAGCTCAGGAAATCCAGTTTGCAAAGCGTGACGGGGCCAACGTGTTAAAAAACCTGCAGTTTTTTTCAGTTTTTAAAGGATCAGTTAACATTTTGGGAAATGGCTTTTTTGCACAGATAGTTGATACAACCAATGTTGCTGTCGTGTTTATACACTAAATATGAACCTACAGCAAGGAGTGAGTTATACATCTAGACAACTATACTTATATAGACATCTATATAGAAAGAACATGATCCTAATTTACTAGTGAAGACTTTATGTTTAATATGTACCAAAATGTATGTCTTATTGACAGTGAGATAATGTGTTGGACTATTTCTTGTCCGTGCAAAAATCCAAGTTGTTGTTTTACATTGCTGGAAGGCTTTGGCCCACATGTTTTAACTGATATTATTCTGTGATGAAGCGGCAGCAGTCGATCAGCGTAACTTAACATTAATAACAAAACATTACAGCATTAACCTCCTGAAATAAAAATCAAATAGTTGCGTTTTTTAACCAAAAGAGATTCAAGTGTTTATTAGTGAGCTTTAGTGATGTCGGTTCGCAGTTTTTCTCATCGGCGGCTGGCAGCGTGTTTACTGCACGGACACGAGAGTTGTATCTTCTCATTTAACTCTCAGCACGAAATCCTAAAATGTTGAACTACTTCTTCTAAAAAGCCAGCAGGACTTTTCTTCTTCACTGGCTACACATAAAATGTGTACTATCATTTAATACTGGAGCATTAAGTTACGCATTTTCTTGTTTGGTGTTCACAGTGGCTATGAGTTTGACTATGACTACTACAGAGACGATTTCTACAGCAGGTATGTAAAAAAGATCCACTGAAATATAACTCATACTTTGTTTTAACGTTTTGCTTTCACTCCCTTTCTTTTATCTCCATGTCCGGATTTTTGCCCTTCACCCTCGTCTGTTTTCAAGACAGCCACTTAGATAAAGATGAGTTTTCTGCAGAATAGCCCCATTTCTGTCTGAGGCGAAGTAACTACATTATCATAGGCATAATGAATGTCATACGAGTTTTTATTCCTCTCCATCGGGCTTACTAATGATGCTTTTATCTGCACAGGCGAGTACTGAATGTCAGATAGTCCCCTGGCTGGTCATTTGCACTGGCAAGGCATAGAATGAATCTTTCATCTGACATTTTCATTGGTTTGTTTACTTCCTCCTCTTTGCAATATCCCTGAGAGTCGAATCCTTCAGCTTTGCGTCGTTATTGATATTTTGGCAATTTAATATGTTGTAGGCAAAAATGGAACAGGATTTGATTGAATGGCCTTGGCATTGTTCAATATGTTTCACCAATGTTCAGACATCTTTTGCTGCATGTCCATTAGGTGCTTTGTAAGAATTTCTTGTTGCTAGAATAACAACATCAAGGCACCGCAGGAGTAACAACGACACACTGGTCTCCACCGCCCATAATGAGTCCAGAGTTAAAGCTCCCTCCTTTGAATCAAGTGTTTCTCTGCTGTAATACATGTGTAACATTTTTTCTCTCTTAGATTGCTGCAACTTTCATTTTCATTTGTTTTCAGACTCTTTGAGTATCACGGTCGTGTCGTGCCCCCGACTCGGGCTGTGGTCCCCATCAAACGTTCAAGACTACTTGTCCCCTCCACACGCAGAGCCAAATCCTCCTTTACAGCCAGAGCTTGTTCCTCCTCTTCTTCCTCCTCCTCGACCTCCTCCCGAGCACTCCATGCCGGCTCCTCCATCGTGGCCCCTAAACGTATGTTCTCTTTGCCCATTGTTGTTCGGCCAATTATTTTTTTCTTGTTCTGTTTACAGAAACATTCTGGATTATTACAACCTCTGCTCTTTTTTGTAGTTTTGGAAATAATCTCGATTAAATATAACACAAAGTTAGACACCAAAGTATTTGCTGGTTCTGGAACTTTGGCAATTAACTGAATAATTAGCTCTTGCCGGGTTGTAACTAAACCAACCATTAAGGCAGTTACTGTATCCAAACCACTTTATTTGGAGGTAAAACTGTATGTGATCAAACCTAAAGTTTTTCAAAAGTTTGCATTGCTCATACTCATTACAGATAGTAATCAGCAGTCACAATGCAGCACAGAGAAATAGCACAAACTTTCTTCCTCACGCCCTTTTTTACACTCATTTCTGGCAAAGAACTTGTTCTTTGAGACACAGAGTGGCGCAGTGCAGCAGCTTTGCTGTTGTAACTGTGTCTGTCTACTTGTCAAACATCACATTTACTATGCTGTTTAACGTTTTCATGTTTGGCGACAGTGAAGACAGACCAGCTCCTAACAATCAAAAGGGAGCTGTCACAGATCAAGACCAAGATCGACTCACTGCTGGGAAGGCTGGAGAAGATTGAGCGGCAACATCGCTGTGACGCCGGTAAGACATGACAGAGGGGAGTTTGCATTTATACGGCACGTGGGGAAACGACACACAGGGTCTTTAAGGGAAAAGGACAAAGGGATTATGAAAACATTAAAAGCTTTATTGATTATTCAATTAATCTATTATGTTCTGGTGTTAACTGCTCGTCTTTGTCCCTCATGCTTGCTTCTTTTGCCAGTGATGCAGAGGAAACAAGAGGAGATGTGTGAATGTCTCCATGGTGATGCGTTGGACCACTCTGGTGGAGAGGAAGCAGAGGGGACAGCCGAGGTGGAGGCGGGGGAGATGACGGACGGTGGTGAAGATGACTTTGAAGATGAAGGCACTAGCGACATGGTAATTAGGACAAGACGCCATTTCCAGTCTCGACAAGGAGTGAGTGGTAACTGAGTTCTCTTGTAAGGATTATGTGTTCTGTCAGGTTACTGTGTGCCTCAGAAATTCTAATAAATTACTGTATATCATTTAGTTTATATAGATGAAGAATAGACAAAACAATGGATGACTGTATTCCACCTATGTCTATAATAATATAATGATCAAATGTTTTTGTGTTGCAGATAGAGAACCACATATCAGACATTGACAACTGAGTAAGGTCAGTATTTGATTGTACTGTTTTTCTAAATAGAATTCTCTCACTGTCTACCACTTCACTCTCTGAATAGCATGGAAGCATATTCTCAGTACGTGTTTTAGTGCCCTACTTAAAGACAACAGCAACCGCTACTCAAAGTTCTGCAGCTTATATCTCCACTTTTTAACAAGAGCGAGAAAGAGTGCTGATCCCCCTCCAGTTTAATCTTTCACCCTGTTCGTCATTCTCTCCATCTGGGCGTGTGAGGACAGACAGGTTCTCTGCACTTATCACTCGTGATGACTGTCTGAACAGCCACAGAGATACGATGCCGTCTCCTCCACTCTTTTAAATCTCCGCCGATATTCTTTGTATGTACACACAGTGATGATACTTTATTTGTCTGACTGGCATTTCCCTTCTGCTGTCCGATAACTGAAATGAACATGATAGACTATTAAGTTGATGACATTATAAACTGTTTGTCCTCAGTTGGATATCTCAGTGTGGTTGCAGGGGATATATGGATCACTCGTCTATTTTAACGTTACACTCAGCCCCCATACCCCCTCTGCCGATTCACCCACCTGAAACATTTCCATTATATGTTTTATAACAGTCTGATAATGGTGGATTTTCAGTGTTGTCTCTCTTCTTTTTTTAAGTTTGAAGAGAAGAAGCCTACAATACATGAAGTTGGAGGAACAGATACCAGCAATACCTTTATAGAGAGGGTGTATTTGAAATTAAATGAAAGCAATGAAGGCAGAAGGAAGAGTTTTACAACCTTGTTTGTTGCTTGTTTGCTTCGTTAGAACAAAACACTCCCAATGTGAACTTCATCAAAATGCTGGTTATGAATATTCTCCACACTGCTGCAGCGAGATCAACTTTAAACAGCAATCAATATTTTCCCCTCAGACTGATAGCCTTGTGGAAAATCAGGACAATAAAGTATATTGTGTGCTTAATATATTATGATCTGTATTGTGCATAAAAATACAATTACGTGATCAATGAAATGAACCATGAGATGCCCTCCTTTTGTTGTACTGCAGATGTATTTGTTCTGTTTCTGTGCATTTAAAAAGCAAATATGAATGTACGAGGAACACGTTTTCTTTTCACAGATGATAATTATGTGATTTTCTGTTATTTGTAGATTATGCTGAAAATGTACAGTATGTAATTTATTCACAAACTGTATTGTATGCACATCACGTTTTGTCATTTGTTTAAACATGATAGGGTGCATTTTTAAATTCTGTTTATATTCTGTTTATGGTAATCAAAAGATAATTTTTTACTATTAGCATGTTTAAAATGTGGCTATTTTGCATCATTTGTATTCATTGCATCTGTCACAGCTATGGAAGATAACAGTTTTTGAAATAAACCTGTTCCTCCCAAAAAAAGTGTTATGGCTTTGATTTGCAGACCTTCACACCATTTGTATCGATGTCTGCTGCTAAACCTTATTTTCACTTAAGACTTGCAAAACAAGTTACAGATAATAAAAAACCTTGCTCTGGAAAGTTACCTGATTCAGCTGAAGATCATTTAAAAATTACCACTTTTTTTTTATTCAAATATAAAGAATTTAAGGCCAATAAATAACCTCAAATGGTAGAAAGGTGAGGAAGAAACTTCCCAGGGTGAAAAAAAACAACAAACAACACTAATCACCCACAAACTGGAAATTGCAGAGATAACATCCATTTTTTAGAGATTGAGAAATGATTTCACTTACAGCTTCACTGCAACAATGGAAGACAAATAGTAATTAGACTGTTTGAAACATGCATTTGTTTCTTATTGACCACTGAAGTTGCTTTACAGTACAAGTCACATTCAATCACCCACACACACAAATCGTCTCTATGCAACACTTTTTCTATCACACACACCACTTGTTCTATGTTAGCGCAGCTGCCAGTGGCAATGTGGGGTTCAGTATCGAGCCTTCAGAATATAGACTGGAAGAGCTGGGGATTGAACCACCAACCCTACCTCCTGAGACTTGAAAGTTAACAATTCCTGCATGTTCTCTAACTTTAGATGATGACTTACAAACACTGCTGGAACAAACTGAAACAGAAGAAGAGAACCGGGCGAGGGCTTCAACTGAATCTCACAGTCTCAAGACTACAAACCCAATGGAGCCATTTGGGGATGATTTGGTGCAGATCTAAATAGAAATCCCCATTTAGTGACATAAATATGGTTTCAAGAGGGAACTGTCCAGCCTTGGTGGCGGTATGCACTCTACTGAGAGCCACTCTAGTTGTTATAATGCTCACATGCTGATGTTATCATGAGGCTCAAATAATTTCCATGCCTACGCGTTATGTCTCTGAACCAGTTGCACAGCTGTTCGCTTTTCATTTGGCAGAGGAACAATCATTGAAAATTTGCTGCCTTCTTTTTTCACTGCCTGGTTTATAATTTCTTTCCTCCACAGTGATTTTCAAAACACAAGCAATGTGAAAATAAAGACACAAGCTAAATGTAAAGATTCTCCACTCAAGTTTAGTTAAAGCATTGATATACATCAGTCCTATATGGACTGTGAGAATATTAATCTATTATTTTTTTAATGCAGTGTCCTTGAAAACTACAGCCAATGACAGATACAGTAAGTGGTGGTGAGGCAGCAACAGATGGTATTTCTAATTCTCTCACTTCATTAGCACCAGATCATCATTTTCACAGGTTAAGGAGGGCCAGTGGCAGGGTTGCAGGTATAATTGGTTCTATCATCACTGGCTGGCAGGCACTCACTACAATGATCAGTCATGCTGCCCCTCTAATATGGACAAGGTTCAGTGTGTGATGAACTGAATCAATCAGAAGCCTGTGTAGCTGCTGGATGAACTATGAGTATAATGGGGTCAGGATCTTTATAATGCGTCTGTGATTCGTCGTTATTGAGCAAGGATGCACAACTCACTGCAGGCATTGTTTCACAGGCCTATGAGTCACAGGTAGATTATAATGTAAGAGATTTATTAATTATACTTTAGGGAAAGATCGCATAAAAAGAGCAATATGTTTTATTTATTACACTATGAATAATTCCAAAAACTGCAAAGACTCATCCGTCTTCATGATCTTTTCCATGGTTAAAGTAGACTCATATATTTTACTGTAATGACTCCAACATTTGTTTTATTTATCATTTTATCACACAATCCAGTGAATAAAATGTGCCATATATTTGAATCACCAAATATGTGTGAGGGGATTCCTTACATTCCTCTCCTGCAGTTTGTGTCCACATACAAAATATTATTTAATTTGTAGCAGAGGCAAAGTGACCCTATTGATTCTCTATTAGCACTATTCAATTCACGTTAAGGTAATTACACATACTGTGTACTACTAAAGATCATAGCGTGTGGGTCTGTGGTATCCTTGAGAAGTTTATGCAATTTTATTTTATAAATAATGAAAATTTTGTTAAGGTAGGAGGATTTTTATGAACATTCTCTCAGGGTCTTGTATTTGCAAGTGAAAATTGCTGATAATAGAGAGCAATTTAATTGAAAGTGAAGGATTTGGTGGGTTTTTTGTAATAAATACATGTAACATCTTTTTACTTTTGTGTTTTTGTGTGTATAATTCTCATGCAGCATGTTGTTTGTGTCTCATTCTTGAACAAAAGCCAAGAACGACTGCATTCACCATATTTTCTGACTGTGGCGTCAATGCAGAAGATGGCGGGGGTTTGTACAAATGAGGGACACAGCTGTTACTTGAATAGAAACAAAAGTATAATGATGTGGTGAACAGGAATACTGGGTTTTAATCATGATGTGCTTTAGCAATAACATTTTTTTCCCTCTTTTTGATTCAGATAAACACAAAAATCAATATCAGTTAAACACAGGTGCTTGGAGATGTATCTGTGATGAGGTAAACACATCAGTAAAATTTAAGATAAAATAGGCTTTGTATGATTTGTACATGAACATGCTGTGCAATGTCCAGTATCTTAAATGAATTAAGTTGCTTTCAGATGGATTTGACCCATGATTATTGTGTGCTCTTTTTTAAGAAGCTTCAGAGTTCACTCTCATCATTGAAAACAGCATTGGAGGAAATTGCTTCTCAAGGTCCATTTTACAGGTTCCTCTCCTTACTAAGATCATGAGATGTGGTTGCAGGCCCCAGAAAAGCTATTAAAATTGACCTTTGAATAAACCTTGAGGATCTACTTTGAGCCTACAAACTCAATAGGTCTCAAACGTTTGTGAAAAATCTTTTCAACTCCTCGTGTTTGACGTAAGTTAACTTATGTCCCCTACAATATATTGTAAAAAACAAAGAGGCACAAAATGTCTTCAAATTGCAACAAAAAAAACCAATATCAAGAGAACAAAAAGCAAAAGAGTCACGTAAATAAAAATGACCAGAAAGAGACATTAAACAACAAAATAAGACACAATAGAACCAAAACAACCAAAGGATATACAAAACATCTACAAACAGACATGAAAACAGAAACTTTCATCTCACTGAAGTGAACTGATTCTTGACCCTATGCTCTTGTGTTTGACTGTTTTGTTTCTATCTATCCATCTATTTAAAAAAGACCTAAAAGAAAGACACAGAATAACCACAGACACAACTTTACTGGTGGAAGATTTGTAGAAAAAACATGCAAAATGTTTTGATCGAAACTATGAAATGGAAAACGTGTTTTCATGGCTGTCGGGCTGGATTTGGCCCACGAGCCACCACTTGCACTACTGGTGACAAGTACTAACCAGGAACTTTGCTCCATTGTTTCAGGACACGTGGAAATCCCTAAAAGCTCTGATAGTACCACAGACTGTATATAGAGATATACAGATAGTACACACACTGAGATATTTCCCCTCAGCGCCATCTTTGATCATGTCTTTATTTATGTTAGCGTTGAGGAAGTGGGGGTGGAGTCTCCGAGTGTCCCGGATGTTGCCGTTCACGACGTCACGTAAACAGGAAGTGTGGTCCTCGAAGCGGTTAGTTCAACTCGATGGAGGCTGAAGAAAACTCCAGGAGGAAATGGTTCAGCTAAGTCAGACTTGCTGTTTCGGTCTTTAGAAGACGCGGCACGTCAGCAGGTCGCTGTTTCAGCCCCTGTACGTGTAGTTTGGAGGCGGTTTACAGGGAGTTCGCCTCCGTTGAGCTCCGTCCATGGTAAAGTTTGGCAGCTAAGTGTCTGTGCTAAAGATTTAGCCTCGGTACGTTATATTAGCTCACGTCGTCGCAATGGGAAACAAGGAGCTGAGTCTTATTGACAAGGAAGTCACAAGGTAAATAAGCTCAGGTTTTTAATAACTTGTACAAAGGTTGGTCAAGTACTTACGTAAAAAGTACAGAAGTATTATCGATTAATCAGTACTACTGATACATTCATGTCTAAGCGTTCTAATGCAGTTTCATCTGTACCAATCCATCATAGTTTATAATGGGGTCGAGAAACCAAACAATATCAATAATTACCGTAATGTAATTCTCATCAGTAGCAGTTTAACACAGGGTCACACATCAATATGCATCGTGCATGTACAGTGAGAAGGTGTAATTCATCCATATCAGATTTGTAATAGGTTTTAAAATCAGTTTTGTTATTCTGTGCTCATACAGAAGATTTTAAAACCTCAACCTTTACCCAGCTGCAAAAATCAGTCTTTGAATTTAAGAGAAATAGACTTCGACTGATATGAATATTTTTTATCTCAATGTGATTTTTGGCCCAGCCCTGTTTAGTCAGATTATCACAGGTTTTCCAAATGAAATCTTAATCTTCGAAGTGAGAAGTAACTCCAACTGTGAGATAAACACATTGAATTACAC